GTGGTGATGATTTTAAGTATCATTTGGTTGATTGGGGTCAGGTTTGTCAACCCAAGCGAGTTGGAGGGCTGGGGGTACGTCGGTTGGTGACTTTTAACCGAGCTTTGTTAGGGAAGTGGCTTTGGCGTTTTGCTTTGGAGCCTTACAGATTGTGGCGGCAAGTGGTGGCGTCTAAATATGGGCTGGACCGAGGGGGTTGGGTTTCTGGGTCTGTGACCTGTACTTATGGGTGTGGGTTATGGAAAGGGATTTGGTTAGGAAGGGTAGAGTTTTGGAAGTGGATAGGGTTTAAGGTGGGGGAGGGGAGTAGGGTGCAGTTTTGGAAAGACTTGTGATGTGGGGAGTTGGTGTTGGAGACCTGTTTCCCGTTGATTTTTAATATTGCATTAGATCAAGATGCATTGGTGGCTTCTTATTTGGATGGTGGGGGTGTGGTAGTTTGGGATATTCAGTTACGACGACAGGTTCATGATTGGGAAGTCGCTCAGTTGGTGGAGTTGTGGGGTTTTTTATATGGTCTGGGCCCAGTCGGGGTGGGCCCTGATGTGTTGGTCTGGACTAGGTTGGGGGCAAAGGGGCGGTTCACAGTAGCCTCATTCTATCAGGGGTTGATAGGAGATGGTGGTTGGGTTTTCCCTTGGAAAAGTGTCTGGGTTCCGGGGGTTCCGACTAAGGTTGCCTTTTTTTATGTGGACGGTAGCTTTAGGTCGGAATCTTACTTTGGATAATTTGATGCGGCAGGGGCACATCCTTGTGAATCGGTATTGTATGTGTTGTGCGGATGCGGAGTCAGTGAATCATTTGTTTCTTCATTGCTCGGTGGCTTCGCGTTTGTGGGGCTTCGTTTGTTCACTCTTTGGCCTTGCTTGGGTTCAGCCACAAGGGGTGTTTGCTCTTCTTTGGGCTTGGCGGGGCGTACGTCTTGGACGGCGGCGGCGCCGAGCTTGGTTATTGGCGCCGTTCTGCTTGATGTGGTTGCTTTGGTGGGAAAGGAATCGTCGTACCTTCTTAGCAGTTTCTCATAATGTTTCTTGGTTACAAAGTCGTCTTTTTATAGTTTTGTATATTTGGTTGGAAGGGAGGGTCGATCCGGATTTATTTGTGTTTTTAGATTTTATAGATGAGATGATTGGTTAGTTCTGGTTCTCTTGGTTCCCTTTCTGGGTGGTTTTTCATGTATCGCTTGCATCGTCTTGATGCTTTCTTAATAAAATTTGCTTATTTATCAAAAAAAAAAAAAAAAATTCTGTGAAAAACCCACTAGCCTTTTTGTACTTGGACAGTTCTTTCATAGTGTAGATCATGTGATTTAAAACATAATTCATTTCTGCTCTAAAAAAGTAAAACTAAATTTGCTGATCTCAGAATTTAATTCTTTTTCTTCATTTCATTTTATTTTATTTATTAATTATAAGAAACCTTGTATCTACTTTTTGAATTGGTACATTTTATTAATTGGTACATAATGGTGCTTATATTTCCTGCTTTCCTGTTACTGGCCGCATCTGCCAAAAATGGAATTCGTACTGTTTTGGCCCTGGGATCTCTTTAGGCATATGACCTTACTCACTAGATATATAATTCTGATTCATAACAAATTCAAGGATTTTTTTTAGCCATCTTGCTTGCATGTGGTGCAAATTATGCCATCAATCATACTTGAATAATCGTGGTTGCTACTTATATGATTTTTATACATGTGACAAGCTGGTCGAACTCCAAGAATGAAATTATGTTTTCTTTATTTGTGCACATAATTATGATTCAGCATAACACATTTATCTTTCATGTGACAGTTGCAACCATAGTTGGAATTGTAGTGGCTTTAAATATTACACTCAGGTTTAAATCATACTGGTTTAAATCTTGAAATTGTCAACTGGCAAGATGAGTAGAGAGGTACTTTATTTCTCATTTAATATAAAATTGAATTTATAATCAATTGTTGTCCACATTATTTCTTATTTTTCCTTGTGTATTGCACAGAGTTCAAAAAAAGTTGAGAAAAGAATTAGAAAAGAGCGTGAAGCTATAATTGCTGCGACAATGGATGAAAGAAGAAATGCATTATTCAGAATTTTAGATGAGTGTTCTACTTCTCCACATGTTGAATCACATGATATGAAAGGAGTTGTAGACTCCACTCAAGTACCAAAGAAGAAAACTAGGGGGGGCCATCAAAGTTAAAGGTGCATGAAAAAGGAAAACAGAAGCGATGAAATTGACTTCAATGAAAGGAATCAGCCTGTGGGACCTGAGTCAGTTAAACTATGGACTTTAGAAGGGATCTTGGCACGAGAGATGGTGCCAATAACCATAGAGAGATGGCCTGATATTCCAGAAGAGGTTAAAGACAAGCTAAAAACTGGCATATGTACCCAAGACATTATGTACTTATGCATATGTATTTATTTTATGGGTAAATTACATTGACATCCCCTGAGGTTTATGTTTATTACAGTTCCCTCCTCACCTTTTAAAAATTACATCTCCCTCCCTGAGGTTTAAAGTTTCATTACAGATTGTCCCCTGAGCTTTAAAGTTTCATAACAGTTCTCCCCCCTTACCGCAATGATCATCATACATAAAATTAAATTAACAGGGGGGGTTAGTGTAATTTTTCAAATGTGAAGGGGTGAACTGTAATAAACATAAACCTCAAGGGGTGTTAGTGTAATTTACCCTTATTTTATTGCACTTTATTTTGAGGTTTCCTGTGGAGTTTACTTCAAATCTAAAAACTGGTTATTTTTTTCTTGATATGTAGAGGATCCTATTGCAAAACGGTCACCGGCATCACCACAAAGAAATGTTCTTGAAAATAAGGATGTTGCAATGGCAAATGATGCCCTCCAAACTGTAGTCAAGGTAATGTTGTAAAAATGTTTACGGGACCCTGCATTTGTTCTTGTTTTGTTCTTTTAGTACTGCACCAATGAGTTGGTCAAGTATTCGATTGGCTGGTGGAAATCCTATTTAAAGGCTCATTCCATAAGGGTAAGGGTATTCTTGTATCCATTTCGTACCTCTTGAAGAGGAATGACCATTCCAATATTTTGTGGGATCGGGTATGCGGTCGGTTTGGCCAACCAAATGAGGAAACTGGGATAGGAGTTCCATTACAGTGCATTCCCATGTATGAAATGTAGGAACTTAATTTGTGATGATTTTGCTTACATGATTTTGACACGACTTCATTATATCTTTCCAGACTACTTTATCATTTTATAAGAAAATATGTAAATTGTTCTCTGTATCTTCTACAGGAAAGCGGAATGAAAGAATCTGCAGTCTCAGAGTTACAGAAAAGGTTAGAAATTTCCGTCTCGCTTTCTAGCCCCGAGACTCAAATCATAGACGAATTGGAAGACACAGAATTTCTTGAACTAGCATCACGGTTGGTTGGAGAAAATGTTGCTGGCAATGAGCAGATTTCACATAGTCAGATCAGTTTTGTATATTGTATAATGTACCTGCCTCTTCTACAACTAATTGCGCCCTATATGGTGATATAAAGGCAGCTGAGGCAGTTCGTGACCATTGGAGAAAATCCACTCCACAATCAATACAACTGAAGGAGCTCAGCCCCCTACTTCATGACTACCAACGCTTGATTGCACGCCATCATATGTAAGGATGAACTTTTATGCATCATTACTTTTTTTTTTTTTTGGATCAGCAAGAATGAATTCATGGAGGTTTGGTGATCAGTTCCATACCATACTAGTCAAATCAATTTACCTTCTGGGGATCAGCTCAGTCCCAAATAATGTGTTTTCGGACAAGTTCAAAGCCTGTAAAATTGTCCTTGAAGTGAGGCATAAATTAAATGGAGTTTGGTTTTGACTAGCTTGTGAACACAATTATAGGGAAAAGGAAAAAAATTCACAATAACAACTGCATACTACAGATAAATAAAAACCGTCAGAATGGTATATCTTTCCACCTCCAAAGGCAGAGGTGCAAAGCATACTGTACTTACCAGAAAGAAGTATGAAGCTCCCCACGAATGGGGTTATAGCAATCAATTGGGTTGATAATGTCAATCAGTTTCTTAATTAAAGCTTACTTGACCATTGTTTATGCTCTTCAAGCTATTGGTTGCTTGAAGAGTGAGTGTCTAAAAGTTTGCCTTGCTTTTATCGGAGTTTGTGTTTATTTTGTCAAATCTTTGCACTTTGCTTTCTCTCTCTCTCTCTCTCTCTCTCTCTCTCTATATATATATATATATACACACACACACATGTATAAATCTGTCTGTATTATGGACCACCTCTGGGCAATTGCTTTTAATATGAAGTTTATCTGTTAATTAGTATTAGCCTATAAAGGTTGATTAAATGTAAATGCCTACTTGCAGCTTCTTGTACATGTATAGGCGTAAGTACAGTCCTCTGATACTATTTAGCATTGAATAAACATCAATTGCTGAGTAGAATCTGGTTCGTTAGTTATATCTGCTTCTGGAACAGTTTTGCTGCTTTGGAAGTCCCATTACCTTTGTCTGTGAGGGAAAAAAGATGAAATATGGTTTAAAGTTTCACCCGTTTTCTTTGTCATACTAATCATTTTAATTTTTGGAATTAACAGCCGTGTTAACTTGTATGAACTTCCATAAAATCGACTACATCTTGAAAATTGAATCAATTTATGGAAGTTATTGAAAATCTGACCATTTTTGTTTCCTTAGTTGTTATTTTGGAAGGGCTTTTGGTGCACATTCTCATTTGCTTCTTATTTGGATGACACCTGCTGCAGGGAGCACTCGAACATTGTTCTTGTCCACTACTGCCAAGTAAAGGTTACAAATTTATTCTATTATTCTTTGTTTCTTCATTGAAGAAATTCACAATTGATAATTTGTATACCATATCAGATGATTCTTAAGCCAATATATATTATACATAATGCTGGCTATTTTAGAATAACATCGCTTTCTAGCTTTCCCACCTCTTTTGTTTCAAGGTTTCTTGTATGTATATAACTTCCACGTATTGGAATCTTGCTACAAAATATAATCTAATGTGTTTTGTTGCCCAACTTTTCACATCCGTGCTAGTTTCTTTTTGGACTAATGGTTATTACAATGTTATGTTACTCGTAAGATTCCCGACTTAGTGGCACTTCTATGATTTGGAAAGCTCCTCCATGGGTTTTAGTACGTTACATTGTCATGTTTCTTCTTGGTGCTTAATTGATATTGCCATGGCTATTCCAGAGTACTTAACGTTACACTTCTATGTTTCTTGTTTTTAAAAGGTTGATTCTTGGGATGCAGTTTTGGTTGTAAAACAAAAGCCAAAATTCATTTTGTGTATTTAAGAATTTGATGCATGTATCTGCTTTTCTTTTCTTCTGTACTCTTTTTGTTTCCTATTCAAATTTTCTAGAACAATGCATGTTTTCTTTGAAGGATGCAACCTTTTATTTTACTTGGTCTTGTGATCTATAAGTTTTTGAACAATGTAAAATACCAATGATATATTCTTTGATTTGTTTCTATTCTTTTATTTATGCAGGTTGTATTTTTTTTCCCAAGAAATTAGTAGGTGGAGTTGTATATTTAAAGTCATATTTTGGAAATTAGTGAATCATATAATTTGAATACTTTTCTTGGTTTGTATGTTTGTGAGGTTGTTAGTAGCTTGATATGATAGAAGTTGAGGAAAGAAGCTAGTATGCAGGTTATTTGGTGTATGGATGTAAGTTTTTTTTTCTTAATTCATAGTGGTTGCTTCTGCTTGGTTTGTTCACAAGTGCCGTACTTTATAAGCGACTGTCTTTGTTTGGAGGTGCATACTGTTTTGTTTGGAGGTGCATACGGCTAGGCAAGGTTATGTTCTTGTCTATGTGTGTATATATATATATATTAAAAATAACTTTCTACGACATTCAAAATTATGCCGTGAAAAGTGTAATGATTTATGGCATGCAAGAAAATGTCCTAAAAGATTTTTCTTAATTCATAGTTGTTGCTTCTGCTTGGTTTGTTCACAAGTGTCGTACTTTATAAGCGACTGTCTTTGTTTGGAGGTGCATACTGCTTTGTTTGGAGGTGCATACGGCTAGGCAAGGTTATGTTCTTGTCTCTGTGTGTATATATATATATTAAAAATAACTTTCTATGACATTCAAAATTATGCCGTGAAAAGTGTAATGATTTATGGCATGCAAGAAAATGTCCTAAAAGATTATATACGGCAAACAAAGTATGTCATAAATATATTAAAAATAATTTTTTACGGCATGTAAAATTATGTCGTGAAAAGTGTAATGATTTATGGCATGCAAAAAAATGTCATAAAATATTATATACGGCATGCAAAGTGTCATAAATATATTAAAAATAACCTTTTACGGCATGCAAAATTATGCTATAGAAAGTATGATGATTTATGGCATAACAAAAATGTCGTAAAAAATTATATACGACATACAAAGTATGTCACTAATGTTTAATTTATTACTTTTTACAACTTTGCTTGCATGCCGTAAATGATGTTCAACTTTCCACGGCTTGTCATATAACGGCATTTGTGTTCATGCCATGAAAGAATTTTTATGGCATGTATCGAAAGTTATAAAAATTCAATTTTGTTGTAGTGATTACATCAACGTTTATTTTAGCAAAGCTAAAGCGATCGCGATTAGTGTAAATAGTGTAAAGACACAAAGATATAATGTCATCCATACATTTTAGTATAGAAGTCATGAAAAAGTATGACAACATCATTTTTTTATTCATATGATTAATAATTTTTGATAAAAATGCAAATATGTTATGTGAATTTGAACCTTAAGAGAGTCTAATGTATGAAATGTTCATTCCTCATTTCGTTTACAATATATTTTTTAACATCTTTTTAAGTAAACTAAATATGATAATGAACATTTTGATAGAATAACTATTCTGGTCCACTTTAATTCTAATGAACTAAAACTACCTCATGTTACTAGACCTTTTAGATCATGAACACAAATTAGTCCTCAAATCTTCTTGTTTAAATCTTGCTTCCGTGCTTATGTTTGTGCAGGCTGTTGTGTGGTATAGTTTGGGGGTGAAAAATGCTTCAAAAGTTAGTAGACTCCACCTGTCTATCAATCTGTCTTTTCTACATATTGACAGAAAAGGAATGCAACCTAGAATGGCAGGAAAATATGCAAAAAGGTATTAAAGTAAAAGTTTTTAGAGTGGTTTTAAACCAACTTGCTGAGTGTTTGAAGGTATAGAAATGGATGATAGCAGGAGAGGTGACCCCTTGGATTTCTCAACACAAAGAATCTCATTAAAAGATATAGAAATTAACAAATTCCTTTCCATTAATTGAAGAATAGAAGTTTACCAATTTATGGATGATTTGTGATAATTTGCCAATTTATGGGTGAAAACTGCTTAAAGGTGAAAGTTTTTCTATCACTGCTCATTAGTTGAAATGTTCAAAACATCAATGTATCCATCATTTGACAAATTTAAGTCCAATTAAATAACCATTTTACAAAACTGAAACATCATGAAATTTATTGAGACTCAAATTTCAAAATTCTGGTTGTCTAATGGGTAATGTTCTTTTCTTTTTCTTTTTTAAAGAGAACATCAAAAAAAATAAAAATAAAAAAATATCCCAACTAGGTGACTCATGCTACTAAGCCAATCATATGCTTAAGCCAAAGGCCAACAACCCCTAAAACACCTACTAAGACGGATGCAGAACAATGACCAAGATTGTAGCATAGCAGCAACTAGACAACTTTTCATAATGTTAGGATCCACTCCAAAAAAAAAAATAAAAAAAAGACAGCAAGACACCAACTAGGAGAACAAAGCTGAAAAACAAAATCAACAATGACTTAACTGCCTACACCAGCCAAACTGAGGCGGAACAATGACCAAGAATGTAGTCCTGCCATATGAACTCATCCATCTTCCAAGTTGAATCAGTCCCTTTCATCATCCAAAGCTGAATCACCATTTACACCACTAAGAACAAAGAGGAAGAGAGCAGAGCCATGTCAGAAGAAAACTTGAAAATCCACAGTTGCCTAACCTAGCAAAGCACAAAAGTCCCTCACCTTTTAAAGGGAAGTGTAGGTCTTTGACTTCTTTCATTTTAAAGATTAAATCAGCAACTGTATAGCAAGGGATAGTTCAATGTGCTTTTAACAGAGTTGCAACTTTCTCTTTGATTAACTCTATGACATTTTCCCAAGAAGCTTCACCATTATTAAAGACAAGGTTATTTCTGGTTTTCCAAATGGTCCAAAAAATTGTCATGGATGGGTTTAGCCTCCCATTAAGAGCTTTTTGACGTTCTTGAATTTGAATCCAAACCACAAATCAAGGCATTAACTGATGAGAAACAAACCCATTTCATTCCCCACCAAGACAAACAATCACCCCAAATTTCCAAGATCTCCTCAACAGTAACAAGAGATGATCAAATTGACTCTAACTCATTCAAACAAATATAAGAGAGCCCAGAACAGGATTCATCTAGAGCAATGTTTTTCCACATAAGCTCTATTGTAGGAATAATACAACCTCCAAATGAGGCAAATTGGTTATGTAAAGATTTTACTGAGAAGTTACTTCCAAATTAATTGATCCATTGATTGGCATTAAGCTGATAATTCTGTGGCAGAATTTGCAATAACCTATGATGGCCTTCCTCCTCCTCCTCCTCCCCCCATACAAACAAAGTCTTCCTATGTGGGATACACATAATGATGAAATAATTAATGAGACCATCTTTGTTACATCATACACCCATTTATCAAACAAAAAGAGAAATCTCATTCCATTTCCCCAATTTTAGTAGCACATTAATGGGGGAAAAAAAAAATTGCATTATTCTTTAAGCAATGAAATATCCCATCTCTTGTAAAAATCACTCTTTTCCGAAGGGGATTTGGCTCAAATGCAAACCTCCACCACCGCTTAATCAAGAGAGCTTCATTCTTAATTTTTAGATTAGAACTACCCAGAACCATAAACCTATGTAATCACTACAAAAAAATTATAGTTTTGGAGGCCAAAATTTAGGGACAAAATATTTTTTAGAGACCAAATACTTTTGTTACAAAAAGTGTCGTTATAATATTTTTAGTAACGAAAATTAGATATTAGTGATGAATTATTATCCTTTTGGAACCAAATTTTTTTGTCTCAAAAACAAAATCATTTTGAGACTAAATTACTGTCCATAAAATTCTATTTATTAGTGACATTTTTAAAATTTTGTCACTAAAAGCGTTGTTTTTGACTTTTTAGGACAATTTTTTAGCGACTATCCTTTAGACGATAGAACTTGGTCCCTAAATGTCTTTTGCAACAAAATTTTCACTTTTAGAGACCAAAACATTTAGTCTCTAAAACTCTTATATGTTGTAGTGAATGAATCTTTCATCATATGAGATTATGCTCACTGTAATTATAGTCACAGGGTTAATATTCAATGTTTATTGGCTTGATTTGTTTTGGCAGAAAGACTCACATTAAACTTATAGTAGGAAGGGCTAAGGAGGTTTTTGCAAGATTGTAAAGTATTCTCTAGTTTCCTTTTCCATTTCAGGCACAAAAGTAATAATTTATGCAATAACTTTGTTCATATGATTGAGTTTAGAAAGTGAAATCTTTTCACCCATCTCTTTTTGAAAAAAAAATTCTTCAGGTGGACATCACCTCAGTAGAACTTGTAAGTCTTAGATACTTCAATCTTTAGTTTGCTTCTTCACTCTCTCTCTCTCTCTCTCTCTCTCTCTCTGAAAAACTCAATTGAATAACCTAAAAAGGACATCTAGCAAGCATTGCTGCAAAATGTAAAAGATGCTGAGTGTAACTGAAGCCAAACAATACGAATCAACTTTCAACACTCAGATTATTTGATGAACAAAACTTCATTTTTTTGGGAAGTCAATATAAACCAAAGATCAAAAGTAAATACATAGTACAAGGAGCATACATGGGCAATACAAACGAGGATGGGAATTGTCTAAAGCAAGCAAAAGATGAGAACAATACCATTTAGCCAATCTAGGCCTTGTTTACATCTGACATGAACATATGTACAACAGATACAACATACAAACCATGAGAAGAAAGCAATAACTGCACAAAAAGTCTAGAAAGCCAAAGAAGCAACGACAGTAGCATCAGCATAAACCAGTCAATTTACCACTGAGTTTTTATATATGACACGTACAAAAGCAACAGCAGAAAATACAGTATGATAAAAGAAGCAACCCAATTTACCAAAAAAAAAAAAAGCAACATGACCAAAAGCAAGGAAACAACAACAACAACACAGAATCATCAAGCCACTGCATTTTTTAGGTCTTCAACAAGATGCAACATTTCTTTAAATTAGATGCAACATTTACTTCACCGGATGCAGCAGAAAATGATTGAAAGAGTTGATACCATCCTTTGGTAGCTCTTTTGGTTTCCCAAGAATAGCGGTAGCTAGGGCAAAGCAGATAAATGAATATATTGAACCTGGAAATGAAAACAATAACAACAATGACAAATAAACATTTGACAAGCATCTACCGAAACTTACACCTTGAACAACTTTTACTAAAACCTGAAAACACCACAGGGAAAATAATAATAATAATAATAATAATAATAATAATTGCTGAAAATTGAAAAGTAATTGGGTTAGTGACTGCCACAAAACGGAGATCAAACAACATATGTAGACAAACCAAAAAGACACCAATTATTCACGGTGAAAATATATAAATTCTAGGTAAGTAATCGTGTTCCGACCCAAAAATTAAAAAAGAAAAAGAAAGATATGGTTGATTATTGTGATTGGGCATGTGATCCTGATTGTGTCTGGGGTGTTAAAGTGAGAAAACAAATTACCATTATGCAATATGATTTTTATTTTTTATCAAAAAATAAAAAGATATTATGAATAATAATGTGAATCATTACAATCAATAAATAAACAAGGGGAAAGGATAATAAAGAACAAAAAGAAAAAATAGGCAGCATGCAAAACCACCTTAAATTCCGAACTAAAAATAATAGACCAAAAACCCCTTTATGAAGAAGAATGCAATGGTTGGTAGGCAAGAGACCAACACTGAGAACACTTGAAATGGAATTTCCTTGTTTTTCAATAATATATATATATATATATATATATTTAAGAAATTAATTTGGCCTCTTCATCTTCAACCTTCATCAAGTTAGAGCATCTCCAACCCTTCACCAATTTTTCCATCTACTTGGACTCCAAACTTGAATAAAAAGTTTGATTTGATATGAAATACTCCAATCCTTACATCAAAATCTTTTAAAAAATTCCTCTCTTATCCCAATTTTTTGTTTTTATCAAATTTGATGGGGAAAAAAAAAATCATCTCAAATTCTTCATCTTTTTTTAAAAAAATTCAATTTCAACCCTTCAAATTCAAATTTTTTTTTTTTTTTTTGTGTGTGATTTTTTACATTTAAAAGGGAAAACTGTTATGATAAAAATAAAAATAAAATAAAAAAAACATAGCCCAACCTCCCCATATATATATTATAAGTAATACAGAGGCTCTGTTGTGATGAGATGAGGAGATTGCGACACTATTAGCATTGATAAAAATAATAAAATAATAATTTTGATATATTTAGTTTGGGTGATTTTTGAGGATTGAGTACCTGGTAGTTTTGATTGCTCATATTGCAGTTTATTCCTCTA